GTGCAGCCTAGGTTTGCACCCATGTCTGTCTGCAAAGTTAGCCATTCCACTCTACAGCAGCTTGGCATGTACATCCTGACCTTGTACACACAAACACATACACATGCACTAGAACAAGTTTCATGAAATATACCTTGTTATCAAAAAATGCTGGCTGCAGCCCACTAAATTGATATATTGTTCCATTAATGAGCTGCAGCCCTTAGTTTGAAAAACACTGCACTAGACCTTTGCTGATACAGGGAGTTCTCCTTACTGAGAATTTATTATCTTTGCCCTAGTGGTACTATGGTTTTGAGGTTTCCTAGGGACACAAAACTGTCATAACATAAAGTATTTGCTAATGAATTAGCCACTTGTATCAGTCCCCATTCAAACAACCTAGTCCTTTAATCTGTATCACCTATTCCCATTCATCTATCTGTTCAACCATTTTGTCTCTCATGCATTGCCAGATACATCAGCAAGTAATTCAGTGCATATCTATCACAAAGTGAAATTACAAATGTTATAAAAAGATGCAGGATATCATGAAGTCAACAAACAAAACTGATAACAAGATCTGGCAGCCCAGCTTACAACTGAAAAGGAGAAAAATAAATAAGGATAATGACTTTAAAAATGATTCAAAAGAGTGATTTGAATACCAAATGATTAAGAAGTCTTCAGGAGAACTGATGAAGCCCTTGAATATTTTGCCAAAATCAGCCCTCTAAATGATCATGCTCCAAGTCTCCCAAGAGCTGAAATGTACCGTCTTGAAAAATCATGCAATTTTGTTAGTACAATTAGGCCCGAAATAAAAACAATCAATTCTTGATACACTTTGTTGTACCATTCAAATTTATGAAAGGAGACTAAATAAACATTTTAATAGCTTTTAGTTATTCAAGTTAGCATACTATCAAGCTCCATCCCCTCAACTAGTTACTTTAAATTTTTAGTTCCCCTTTTAAATGGATTCACTAAATGGCCTTTTTGTCTGGTACTAACTGTCCTCAAATAATATACCTCTTCGTTTCCAAGTCACCTAGCATACAGCAGGAGCTTAATAAATGTTTGTTAAATGAATAATTACAATAGCCTTCTCTGCCTTTAGTCTCAGTTCCTTCTGAGTCAACTAGCACATTGCCATGCACCCTAAAATTCTTCAGTAAATCCCTACCAGCCTCAGGGGAAAAAATCTACCTCCTCAGCATGGTTTACAAAACCTTTATAATCTGGTTTTGCTCTATTTACTTTTATATTCAGGCCACATTTAACTACTTGTAGTTCTCCAAAGGCCCCATAATTTCCTCCTGCCATGCTTTTATTTTTCCCTCTGCTTGGAATTGTTCATCTCCACCAATGGGAAGACAGGATCCTTCCCCTTTTTCTGTACAACCCACTACCTTGCGCATAACTAGCACACACTGACCATATTGTAGTTGCTTCACAACTTGTTCTAAGCAGTTTTTATTATAAAAAAGTTATTGATAAAAGTAATATAATCACATTTTGAGAAAATATAGAAAAAGTAGGGAGAGTAGAAACAAGGTTCACATATATGTATGTGTGTGAGTCTATACATGTATATATACAAATACACGTATACCTTGTGACTCTGATACCTTACAGAGTCACTGGTATCATTTTGTTGCACAGTTCATCCTCCAACAACACAGGTTGGAACTGCACTGGTCCACTTATACACAGATTTTTTTCAGTTGACCAGCGCAGTTCATATCCACGCTGTTCAAGGCTCAACTCTGTGGTTGGGAATCCACAGATGCCGAGGGCTTGCTGTCCTTATAAGGTGATTTTTGGATTGTGCAGGAGATCCGTACCCCTAACCTCTGTGTTGAACAGGGTCTACTGCTTTTTCTTCTAAGATTTTTTTCATATGCGTATATTTTTACATGACTCTAACCAAAGAGAATGTATGATGTTGTAGCTACCTGCCCTTTAAAAACAAAGCCAGCCCTGACTGGTGTGGCTCAGTGAAGTGAATGCCAGCCTGCAAACCAAAGCGTCACTGGTTCGATTCCCAGTCAGGGAACATGCCTGGGTCGTGGGCCAGGTCCCCAGTTGGGGGTGCACAAGAGGCAACCACACATTGATGTTTCTCTCCCTCTCTTTATCCCCCCTTCTCCTCTAAAAATAAATAAAATCTTTAAAAAATAAATAAAAACAAGTTCAATATTATATGATATGCATTTTTTTTCTTGTTATGCAGTCACCCTAACCACCACTTTTAATGGTTACATAATAGCCCAACAAATAGCTATGTTGTAGTATACTACTACCTAACCATTCTGCTGTTGAATATTTAGGTCTCCCTCTCCTTTTTTGGCTTTTTTAAGAGAGGAGTTACCATCTTCATATACAGTTTTTCTATATTTTGGATTGTTTTATTACTTTAGAATAGATTACCAAGAGTAATATATGTTAAAAGTTAAAGATTTTTCTTCCTTTGGCTTAAATTTGGTAGGAGGAAAATATACATAGGTATATATGATGTTTAAATTTCACTTCCTCTAATTATTAGTAATGCTAAGTACTTTTTCATGTTTACTATTTTTCCTCTTTTGTCAATTGTCTGTTCATGTCTTCTGCCCATTTATCTGAATATTAATGTTCTCAAAAATCAATTAAAATAAAGATTTTAACCATTTGTTATATTCTGTAACCATCTGTAACTTTTTTTGGCCTCTTTTTATTTTGGTAAAATTTCAGCTGCAAAAGTAATAAAATCTCATCACAGAAAACTTGAAAACTATAAAAACACATTTTAAAAAATCATCAATAATTCTGTCACCCTAACATAACCACTATTATCATTCCCTCTAGTTTTTTCCCCATAGGTGTGTGTTTTACAAAGTTGTAATTTCAGTGTGCACACAGTTTTAAAACCTGCTTTGTCATTAGCACATAAGAATTTTGCTGAAATGCCCTACAGCCTTCATAATCATCATTTAAAATAATAGCATAGCATAATATTCCATGGAGGGGATTCACCATTTCCTTATTGCTAGATATTTGTGTTATTTCTTTTTTTAAATAAATAACACTGATAAAGAGCTTCATACAAATAATTTTTTTCTATACTTTGAATTACTTCCTTAGGAAACATTCTTAGGAGTAGGTTTACTACACAAGAGGCTATTAATGCCTGCTGGCTTCAAATTGCTTTCTTAAGGGTGGAACCAAACCACACTATTACTAGCAAACTGAGTACCATCTTTTTCAGTTCTGTTAAATACAGGCTAAAAGAGAGGCTATCTGGTTGTTTTAATGTACATTTCTTTGATTAGTAGTGATGAACACTGCCCCATGTTTTCCAGTTGTACTTAAAATCCTCTGTAAATTATCTATTCATGTCCATATTTCTTCTTATACACCACACTATATGAATACCTTAGAAAATACAAATCTATCATGCTTCATCATATTTATATCAAATATGCCTTTCAGTATGTGTTTAGATTTTATTTTAAAAATAGCCACAACAGTTTTAAGTTATTTTGGTATAAAATTTTTTTAAAGATTTCATTTATTTATTTTTAGAGAGAGGGGATGGAAGGGAGAAAGAGAGGGAGAGAAACATCAATGTGCAGTTGCCTCTCACACGCCCCCAACTGGAGACCAGGCCCACAACCCAGGCCTGTGCCCTGCCTGGGAATCAAACCAGCAACCCTTTGGTTTGCAGGCCGGCACTCAATCCAGTGAGCCACACCAGCCAGGGCTGATTTTAAAAATTTACACAAGTGAAATTGTTGATCTTATACTTTATGAGTTTTTTCTATTACTTCCTAAAGCTTAGAAAACTATTCCCCTCCAGAGGTTTGATAAATATTCATTCCTCCTAGTTTTTTAAAATTTGCTTTTTTATACTTAACTCTTCAATCCGGCTGCCACTTATTTTAGTTTATTACAGGAGATGAGAGTATAAATGCTACAAGCTGTCACAACATCATTTACTGAACAATCCTTTCCACTCCCATTCACTTGCAACACAGGCTTTATAATAGTTTGAATTCTCATATATAACTGTCTCTTTGGGGAATTTACTATAATATCATCTGTCATACTTTATACCCATGGTACCAGTGTTTTCATTTTTCTAGTTTTGTATGTTTAATATATAATAGCATTAGTCCCTCATTAATATTTTGCAGAAATTTCTTTGAAAACCACTCTTCCTTAGCTTTCAAATCTAATTATTTGCTGTCTTGCCTCTATGATATGAATTTCTTTAGGGTAGAATTGGTTTATTTCATTAGAATGGATTGCTAAGAATAATATTACTGGGACCAGAGGTAAGAATGTTTTCCCCCACTGTTAACTCTTATTTCCAAAGTTTTCAAAAAGAATGTGCCAATTTTACTATAATCCTGCTAGTACCTGGATATTTTGAAGATTTCCGCCCCCCCAAAAATTGTTAGGGGAAAGAACATACTACATTTCAATTTATATACCTCTGTTTACTAGTGATGATGAACCTATGCATGACATATAGTATGTTCTTAATTAACAAACACATGCTGAATAAATAAAAGGCATGTATGAATACAAGTACTGGTAGATGGGGAAATACTCTGGTTAGAACAGATAAATGCCAGCTAGATGTCAGTTTGTGGGCTAAATGCCTGTAGTCTGTCTACAAAGAGGTTCTAGAGGCATCAAGACGACTTTGAATTGGGGCAATCCCAAGAAACACTCTGTAAGTCATATTTTTACCACAGGTGAGTCTGTTTCAAAGTAGGATCAGCTGAAACCTGTCTGGAACAGTTACAACAATGGCGCGTATAGGTGCCCACACCTATAGACAGTCCAGAAGCAGCCATGATTGACTTAAGACATAGAGTACGTTTCCTTTGGCATTAAAACAGTGATAAGTATCAAATAGCTGCATACTCCACTGGAAATTGACCTAGGCCCTAGTAGGCTTAGATACGTAAGACATAACTGGGGAACTGACTCAAGGAAAGAGGCAAAAGGCAGAAAGGTCATTTTCTTACTTTTTTGCATGATGCCAACCTCCGGACCAGTTAATTGCTACTTTGCACATTCCGTCAATCAGGCATTGGGCAGCTGTGATTGTAGCCCCTCCCACAGCTGCTGCATAGTCAAATATCCCTTCGGTGGCTGGGCAGTCATAACCTTTGGGAAAACATCAAAAGAAGTTGTTAAAAGATGAGTCCGAGAAATGGGAAGTATGATATTACGATATATAATAAAAAGTCAAGGAACATATAGCAAGGACTCATGGACAAAACCAAAGGGGAAGAGCTGAGGGAGGGAAGGAGGGAGGGGGCAAGGGAAAGAGGTGGGGGGGAGGCAGAGACAAATGTATTTAAAAAGTAAATAAATTAAAAAAAAAGAAGTATATATTTGGTCTTTGCACCCATTTCTGGCACGGAGTTCCTAAAACTCTTGGAATTTCCTAAGTGATGAGAGAATAAAAGTGTCTTTTGTTATGTTAATGAGATGGTGAGTGGACCACACTTAAGGACTGGTACTAGTTGCCAGTGAAACCATTTTTAGAGAGTTGGAACTTTCAGTCCCACTCCTTGACCTCTAGAGAGAGGAGAGGAGCTGAAGATTTAGTTCAGTCACCAAGTGGTCAATGATTTAATCAACCATGCCAGGTCTCCACAAAAACCCTTACGGGAGAGTGTTCAGAAAGCTTCTGGGTTGATGAACACATGGAGCTTTGGGGAGAGTGGTGTGCTTGGAGAAGGCATGAAATTCTGCAACCTTTCCCCACACTTTTCTCTGTGCATCTCTTCCATTTGGCTGTTCCTGAGTTATAGCCTTTTACAGTTGAATAACACAGGGGTTTGGGGGGCCAACCATCCCCTGCAGTTGAAAATTCATGTACTAACTTGACTCCCCCCAAACTTAATTATCAATAGACTACTGTTGGCCAGAAGCCTTGCCAACAACATAATCAACTAATGCATATTTTGTATTTATATGTATACTGTATTCTTACAATACAGCTAGAGAAAGGGTTATTAAGAATAGCATAAGAGAAAAAACATTTTACAGTATTTATTGAAAAATATCCACGTAGAAGTGTACCTGCACAGTTCAAAGTTGTGTTGTTTAAGGATCAACTGTATAATTAATGGGTAATCTAAAGAGTAAATGGGTTTCCTGAGTTCTGTGAGCCATTCTAGCAAATTAAACAAACCCAAGGAGTGGGTCAGAAGTATAGGTAACAACCTGGGCTTGTGATTGGCATCTGAAGTAGATAGCAGTCCTGAGGGACTAAGTCATTCATCTGTGGCATTTGATGCTATCTCCAGCTATTAGTGCCAGAATGAGTTGAACTGTAGGACACCCAGATGGTGTCATGAGCATTGCTTGGTGGTGTGGGGGTAATTGGGTTCAGAATCCTATTTGGAGGAATAGGTTGAAAATACTGACAACATACCCTACCAAAAAGCTGCTCTGCTAAAATGAGCTCCAAACAAGAGATAATCATCTCCAGTGTTGGGGAAAAAAATTCTTTAAAGTATTGAGCTAGAAAGACTGAACCGTCCAGATTAACTAGTCACATCCTACAGATGGAAAAATTGAGGTCTGAGAGGAGATATGTCTTATCTATGGTCGCACAGAGTCAGGCCTGCGGCACAGGTTTCTTGCCCCATTCCCAGTCCAGTTCTTCTAAATCATGAAGTTTCTCTAGGTTAACCTGTTGGCCACTTCCAAGTTTTTAAATGCAGCTATTTAATGGAAGATGAAGTAGAAAACTTAGCCAGAACATATGCATAAATTATACTCAATTTAAAATGTAAGGCAACAGGACAGTTAAATCAACATACATACAGTCAAACCTGATCTGGGCACTGTTACTGGTCCCAAGCAACAGAAAGATTTTCCTCCTTCTGATCCATCATTCATTTCTGCTCAACTCATGTGGTTTGCTTATTAAGTGAGATGTATGTAGCTAAACTGAGAGGTTGATTGTGGTTAACACATTAGTTATTAATTAAAAAGTATTAAAGATGACCATGCAAGTTATAAAAGATGAGGTAGATATGACCAATAAATGGAGGTTGTACATCTCCCACCATTGCTTGATAATGACTTTACCTAGCCCATATTCTATGGAGTCTGGATGATCGTCATCTCCTTCTTGGCTGACCTTCTGGAGATGTTGCAGATAGGCATCGGTGTGGAAGGTGGCCATCTCCTCCATGGAGGCCACTTTGGGCTTAACTATTCTAATAATAACAGAGAACAAAGAGAAGTGAGTGACTCAGACGCAGAGTATGCCAGAAGCTAGACACAGGAACCAGTAACCTGAGCAGAAAATACATCTCCTAGCTTCTGGTTCCAGTGGCTGAAGTAATAAACATGTTCTTTTCTTCCACTGCACTATATAGTCTTCAGTTCCTCACATCTATGTAATGGTTCTATTAATGGGGATGAGAGGATAGATTTTCCCCTTGAGTTTATAGGTAGTAGAAGAAAGTATATTTAAGTTAAATAATCAGGTATTGGACAAACATTACTCTGTGAGTTATGGCTTTCATGACAAACCAGTAGGCTGAGATATTTTGATATGAATCAGTTCCTAATTGGGCCATATAATCCTTTCAACTATGTTTTTACTTTTATAGGTAGCTGTACTGTAATGAATTTTGAATTTGGAGTCAGAGAACTGTATTCCTGTCCTAACTCTGTACTTACCAGCTCTATAACCTCAGGTAAGACTCTGCTATAGTTCAGTCTCCTCATCTGTAAAGTGGGGAGATCTTATGGAACTTATGCAAAGATTAAATGCTAACATATAGAAAATGCTTTGTGGATAATTATAATTGTTAATATTAAAGGATAGCTCTGGCTGGTATGGCTCAGTGGGTTGGGCGCTGGCCTGCAAACCAAAAGGTCACTGGTTTGATTTCCAGTCAGGGCACATGCCTGGGTTGCTGGCCAAGTCCCCAGTTGGTTGGGGGCGTGTGAGAGGCAACTGATCTCTGTTTCTCTCAAACATTGATGTTTCCCTTCCTCTCTTTCTCCCTCCCTTCCCCCATCTCTAAAAAAAAATAATAAAATCTTTAAATAAAGGATAAAAAAGGCAACTCAAAACATAAAAGTTTCCGTGTTAGGTCCCTCACATCTGCCTCTGAGAGGAAAAGCAAACAGTTGGAGCTGGTCCTTTCACAAGAAGTGACAAACAGGAGTGACTGAGAATACAGGGTGCTAAGCTAACAATAGGACTTACCACCTCTAACTTCTAGCTGCCTATTTATTCCCCATTTCCTCTTGCGGACTCCACCGCTGCCGCTACTGCTCTCTAACCCCGGCCAATCAAAAGGTGGCCTGTGGGCTGACAGCAGCGCCACCTGGGAGCTTGTTAGAAAGGCAGAACTTCAGTCTCACCTAAGACCTATTGAATTGAAATGTGTTTTTTCACAAGGTAATTCATATGCATATTCAAGTTAGAAAAGCAATGACCTAGGCCACCGGGAGGCAGCAGTGTTTTTTTATGTTTTGTTGATTGGAAACAAGGCCAAGAGTTTCCAGTCAATTAGTGTGACTTTTCAGGATACCACCATCACCAAAGAGGCCAACCTGAGAGGCTCAGCCTCAAAATTAAATATCTATAGCCAAGATCGGAGGACTTGATTCCTGCTCCTTCTTCAAGAAAACATGTCTATATCATCAAAGGTGACAAATCTGCCTATTAAAATAAAAATGTTTAGTTTCTTGAACCATGTTTCCCAGTCATAATAGCTCCCTCTTTTTGCAGCTGTCCTCTTATTTAACAAATACTTACTGTAATCCTACCTAAATGGCAAGAAAATTTGACAGGTTTAAAAAAATATTGATTTTTTTTTTAGAGAGAGAGAGAAACATCAATTTGTTGTCCCACCTATTTATGTATTCATTGTTTGTTTCTTGTATGTGCCCTGACCAGAGATCAAACCACAACCTTGGCTCTAACCAACTGAGCTCCCCGGCAAGGGCCAGTTTTGCTTTGTTTTCATTTCTTGTTTGTCTTAAAGTCAGTTTTTGAAATGTTAAATGAATTTAATGGAAGGCATGTGGTTTTTCTGTCTATCAAATATGAATTTAAAAATGGTTGAAAAACACTCCTGAAGAAGGTACTCAATAAATGATTGTTAATGACAAGAATAAAATTTGAAAGCCTATTACAGTACCTGTGGGAGAGAAATGAAGCATACCACAGTAGCAGGTATAAACAGGCACATATTTGGCCATAAAATGCCATAAATAATCCTACAAGTGTCAGGGTTATAATATTTAGTCTTAAAATGACAAACAGCGAGTTCATTTTTTTTTTAAAGAAGTACTTAGCTCTGTGCCTGGCCACAGGAGTTTGCTTTGGTTTTGACTTGTCTCCAGGCTCACTCATTAAAGTTTGGTGGTGGTGAAGGGGTGTCTAAAAGTTTTAAGTAGAACTCACACCCTCAGATCTGGCTTGGGGGGTGGGGAACCAAACCAGAAGACCTCCTAGCCGAACACCTTTTTTTTTTTTTTTTTTTGGACCCAATGTACTCATCTCAAAATCTCCACAAAGCACCTATCCCTACAATATGTTCCCTGTCAGCAGTAAAGTCCTATTTCAAATGGCTATTTAAGTGCTTCACGTACTCTTTTCAGGCACTTTTAATTCTTCAAGAGTTTTTATTAGGTTACAGGCACATTACAAACCCTGCGAACTACATAAAGCTTTAAAAGAAGGACCACTCCCTAATTAGTCCCAACGGTGAAGCAGGATGTTAGGGCTAGAACACCTGGGTTCAGGGCTTTGTTCCTGAAAGATAACTTACCTCATTTGCTTATGTAGCGCATATGCTTCGATCAAAGAATGTACCATACTGGCCTAAAAATATCAGCAAAAAATTTTTTTAAAAAGCAGAAAACAGTTTCTTAATGTTTAATTCAGAAAAATTGCATCGACTTCATCATCCTAAACAAAGGAATTAACTTTTAGCCCCCCTCCCTTCGTTTTATTTAATAGTCACAATGCACTTTAGACAATTTAGATACAAAGTATCTAAATCGCTAAAGCGAAAACTGCCGGGCCTGAGAGAGGCTATGGATCACTTTTCTCCTGAAGCTTCTCCACGACTTCAGGGACTCCTTGTATTAGAGACGCCTTCCGTCAGTGCCCTAACCTCCTTTGCGAGCCCGCCCCCACCTGCGTCCGTTGGCGCCCCGCTGATAAACGCGGCGCTCTCAGAAACTGTAAGGGAACACTTCCTCCACCACCTCGTAGAGCCGCCCAAATTACTGCTGAAGATTTCCCCCAGTCCAGTATCTTCTTCGCTTCCTAATGCTCTCCCGTCTACCCACCCCACCCCCACCCCCCCACGCGCGAAAGCCCACGGTCTTTCATGCCAACCTCTCTTACCCGTTTGGGGACTTTGGCCAGGGAATCGCACATGCTGACATACTCGGGACTGTAAATGTAAACCGGCGGCAGCGACTTCCCACTGTCCGCAGGTTCCTCTGGCTCCTCCATCTTCCACTTCCAGCCGTTCTGGAGCCACCGTCCGGATGCGGCTTTTTTCGTACTCAGCCCGGGCTCCGGTTCCTGCTCCTCTAAACGGCCGCAGCGGTGCTCCCTGGTCAACATTCCCTCCAATTCTTGAGATCGCCAGAGTCACTGTTCTCAATCCACATCCAATTGAAGGAATGCATGGGTCTTCCCAGGGCACAACCCCTTCATTTAGTGACCACAGTTCAAAAACGAGAAGTGTACAGATATTAAATCCCAGATAACTGCCAATTAGGGTCGATGTTTTACGGCACAGATAAGCACGGTCAAAACTAACCATCCTTGTTGCCCTACGGGGCCATTTGAGATGAGGTCAGACCAGCTTCAGAGCATGCTGGGAGATGTAGTTTCAAGGGGTTTGAGTAGCGGAAGAACTGGGGCTACTAACTAAAATAGCCGCGAATTTGAGTTTTAGCGCTAAAAAAAAAAAAAAAAAAAGCCTCAACTCCTTATGAATTGTTTCAATCTGAAAATACACCTACATAAATATAGACACGACGTGGCCACCAAGAGCATCACCCAATTATGTAATAGTGGCAGCTTTTTTTGGGTGGAGGATCAATTAATGGTACAAAAGGTTTGAAAAGTTCACACAGTAAATTATGTGCCTCTGTGCCTCATTGTTTTTCATCACCTATCCATGTTCATGTAAGAGTTAATAATCTCAATAATTTACTCTGGCAAAGCTGATAGCACTTTCCCAAGAGGCTGGCTAGTACTCTGGAAATTGCTTGGTAGATTGCAGTCAAACAACGAAGATAAATTACTCCTTGAAAATTCATGTGGACTGAAGGTGTAAGCAGAGACTTTCAGTGACGTTTGGAGACTTCAGATTATCCCTCTTCCCTCCCTTTGCTTCTGCACCTGGTGAAAAGCCAGAGAAATATTTTAGGTTTCATGTGAGGGTCCACATCAGAGAATATTCTGAAGCAGTTTTAGAATTACTCAGTATTTTCAAGTTCCTAGGAGTCTCTGTGTACTGATGCAAGCTGGCCAATGCTAAAGCGCCCAACTCTTACATGAACCTGAGCTGACCTACTAACACCCCTCAAACAACCCAATAACCTTACCTTCAAAATCTACCTTGCTGTCCTGGCCAGGTAGCCTATTTGGTTACAGCATTGTCCAGGGAACATACAAGAATCAAACCACTGGATACATTAAAAAGTGGAACAAATCGATGTTTCTCTCTCTCTCTCAAAAGTAAATAAATAAATAAAACGTAAATAAATAAATAGATAGATAAAATATAAAACAACCTACCTTGCAGGGTTGGGATTGAGCTACCTGAGAGGGTCTGCAGATCCTGAAAACCCCCAGTCATCATCTCTTCCCATCGCAAGATGGATAACGAGAAGCGCCTGGCCTACACCATCATCTGCTTCCTGCACGCTCAGCTGCAGCATGGGGGGCTCTCATCTGATGCCCAGGAGAGCCCGAAAGTTGCAATCCAGTGCCTGGAGACTGCTTTTGGGGTGACAGTGGAAGACGGCGACTTCGCACTTCCTCAGACTAGCAGGGAATTTGCATTCTTGTAGAGATGAGACATACACAAAATCCGTATACAACACAGTGTCAGATAATGAATGTAGGCTGCTTAAATTAATAAATAAGTATCGAGTACTTCATAACTGGTACGTAAATGGCAACTGGGATCCTTACTCAGTGGCATTTGGGGGGGTTGTATCAAATGGACAGGACTTTACTTGGTGAAGATGGGAGCCGGGAGAGGACGTAGAGACTGGAGTCAGCAGCGTATGCAAAGATAAAAAAAGGAGGCTATTTCTAGTCTAGTTTAGATGAAGGGGCTGGATCATGAAGGGTTTTGAATGCCAGACTCAAGATAGCAGACTTCATCCTGTGGGAAATGGGGAGACATTTAAACACGAATCTGTTTAAAAAAAAAGATTTCTACAGCAGTGGTGTGTAGGAAAGATGACCTATTGAAAGACTAGAGGCAGGGAGAGTGCCACAATGGTCCAAAGGAGAAGTGATGATGATTTAAACTAGGGTAGGGGCAATGGGAACAGAGAGGGAGAAACATTGCACAGGATAGGTTCAATAGGACTTCCTTACTATTTGGATGCTGGTGAGAGATGGAAGAGAGTCACTGGAAACTCTTAAATGTAAAGTCTAGGTAAAGAGAAGGCTAGTGGTATCAATATAACAGGAAAACAAGGTGGAAGAACTCATAGGGTAGAGCAGAATGAACATGAGTTTGATTTTCAAAATGGTCAAAGTGTTGAGTTGTATAAATCAATGGGTTAAATCCGGCACTTACCCTATTTTTCTCCTACGTAAGAAACAGACAACTAAAGTCATGAGTGGCTGCGATAGCCAAGGGAACATGGCTTCCTCTGCTGGAATGCCTAATGGTCAATCCAACTTAACATTTTCAAATAAAATTCCTGATTTCCCCATCGAAGTCTTTCCCACCCCTTTCCCATCTTTCATAGCTTAGTAACGAGACCAACAACTATCGAGTTGCCTAAGCCAGAAACCTGGGATTTATTAATATTCCTTCTTTTTCTCCCACTCTCAGATCTACCCTACCAACAATTTCCCATTTCTTCCACCTCCAAAACATGTCTTAAATGCTGTACATCAGTTTTCTCCCTCCACACTCTGCTGCTACCCTAGTCCTGGCACTGTAATGGCTCATCTGGACTTCCCACAATATCTAATTCTTATTCTGCTTCTACTGACCTACAATTCATTCTTTTTAGCAGCTGCTAGACTGAGCTAAAAAAAAAAAAATCCCAATCAGATGTTACTTTTTAAACCCAGCCCCACACCATGGTGAGAATCCTTGAGCTAGGAAGAGAGTGTAATTTGGGGGCTTAGGAGGAGAAAAAGATGCCAGAAAGGTGACCAAAAAGGAAGTTTGGTGAGAACGAGTATAGTGCAGTTTCACAGAAATGGAGGGATTAGAGGGTTACAAGGGAGAGGTAGTAACATTGTCATGTATTGTGAGATTCAAAGGATCCTTTTGCCATTAGGAGCTCACTGGTGCTCTATGAAGAAAATTAGAGGTAGAGGAGGAAGCCAGATCAGAAGGAGTTCAGGAGTAAGGCCAGCACTGTCAAGTGTAGTTTCCTCTTTGAAGAAATGTGATTGTAAAAGGAAGGAGTTAGTGTATCAGCCTGGGGGGGAAGTCAGAGACCATAATTTTTTTTTTAGGGTAAGGAAGACATGCACTTGTTTATACACAGAGGGGAGGGAGTCTCTGGGACTGCGAGAGTTGACTGACAGGCAAGCAATACAAGGAGAAAATGGGACTTGTTTTGGACCTTACAGTTTGGCCAACCAACAACGTAAAATCTGGACTCTAATCAGATGACATGAAAAAAAGATTGTCTTATGTGTTCTTTCAGATCTAGGAGACAGGTAGGTGGACACTTCAACACCAGAACTTGGCTTTTAAATGGGAAATTCTCTCTGGATACTCTCAATTGGCATACAGTGTAACAAGATGGTTCAATTATGGAGAAAGATACATTGTTGCAGGAGACTCTGAACTTGGCAGCAGAATTACTGTAGCAAATCTCACAGGGAGGCTGGACTCTTGTTCATGATTAAAACAGAGCACAAACCACGCCAAGAGTCCCTAACTTCAATTTTCCACACGCTTAATACCCATGTGGTCCTTAAGTTGGGAAGAAAATCCTTCCCAAAGCACTGGATTTGCAGTCAAAGGACTTGAGGTCAGAGGAAGTAGTATAAATTGTGGCTCCAAAGTTTCCTTGTGTGGTGACACTGAGCAAATTCTTTGACTAACTTGCCTCAACCATTGATTGACTTCCTCAACCATTTACTTGTTGCTAAAGGCAGTTTTTGAATAAGCAAGGTCAGGTTGGACTTGCCACTTTTGGTGATCTCTCTGGCTTGTACTTGCTGGCAGGTGCAGGCAGATGAGAAAGGAAACACATTAAAAAGGCACCCACCCCTTTGGTCACTCTTCTTTTGTGCATTTCACAAACTTCCTCAACTGCCCTTAACAGACTGATCCTTGTTTTTACACTGCTTTCTAGTATCATTTCTTTGGAAGAGTGCTGTTGTTGAGAATGTGAACTCTGGAGTCAGATTGCTTGGGCTAGTAAGCTCTACCACTTACTGGCTGTTCAATCTGGAACAACTTGTTTAAAAGACCAGTGCCTCAGTCCTTGCCAAGTGCCTGTATCACAATGTCTGGCATTATGCCAAATAGTCCTTACTTTTTGGGAAAGTCTCCTCCCATTGTTGTCCTCACCCCAATACCAATAGTGCATGAGTATTGCTGGTGGTTTGAGAATAGGTCCTTGGCTTTTAGGCCTAGCCTTAAAAGAAATCAGACTTCTGCTAAATATAGGGTGCGCATATCATCCAAACTGGGACACTTTTGAGACTGACAGAGTGCTATTAATAATTATGTCAGGACAACAGGCATAAATGGGGACTGTCCTGGGAAAACCAAGACCTAAGTTTACTTACATTTCATAAGAAATGAAGAGTAAATGTGGAAAACACTGCACCTCCACTGCATTAGCACAGGCACTAGGTTTTTGGTAAGTGCAAAAAGGATGGGTAGAGGTTTTGTGAGCTGTGGCTAAGAACCAGTTTTGCCCCACCAGCTGCATAAAAATCCCACAATGTATTGTAGTGAAACCTAATTAAGCACGACGGGACTACAGCAACTTGTTCATCCGTGCTTGGTAAATAAACCCTTTTGGTTACACAAAGTGCTAATGAGTAGTATAAACAAGATTCTGCCAAATATTTATAATACTTAAGAGAACAAACTGTTCTTAGTACCTTCCAGTAGTGCAGAAGCACCATTTGCACATAACTGTTAATGCTGAGTAAAAAATCATTCATCAGAACAGGTTCCCTAAAGACATTAATAAATCCAATTTAATTTAGTGAGCTTAGTTTGGGCAGGTATGTATTTGAACAGTAAAACTGCATTTCTTTACATATAACATTATATAATGTATAATATATGCTTTATATTAATATTATACTACTTTGACACCACTAATGAGCTTTGACTGTACTGTATAATTAGACTACATAAAATAGAGCCACGAAATAAACTCCAATCAAAAAATACATATTGTTTTTTAAGTTTTACACATTGGCACCAGACATGATTTACTTGGAAATTCTATTTTTATTCTACTTTGAAAACAGAAGTGCTTTAAAAAAATCCAACATGTCTTTTAGTATCACATGCTTAAAATGAACAAAATAGAAATCGAGTTTTCTAAAAACTTGATGTAAAAGTGAAGCACAGTGATAGAGGGAGGGCAGCAGAGTGCT